CAGTCAGGTGTCATTTCTCCCTATTGCACAGAGTGGTTAAGAGGCATGCCTGAGGTTACACAGCTGCAGTGCTGGAGCCCAAGATCGTCGTGCCTGAGGCTCGGTCTCACACACCTCCAACTAAAGCAGTTGCAGCCTAAGTACTTGCTTTTACTTACCTTAAATTCATTTGGGGGGTCACGGGGTAGGGGCACTCGGGTAGAGATGTGGCACCTCGAAGGTGCAAGGGCTGGTGGGATAGAGGGCAGGGAAGAAGGCTGCTCCTGGGGGGTGGGATGGGGTGTGGAGGGGCCAAATCCCGGAAAATGGGGGCGCATCATCCCTCACCACCCCATTCTGTCTATGGCCATTAGTCCCCACGTGGCCCTCGGCTCGGCCACACCCCCGCTGGTCCAAAGGACCCCCAGTTCTGCGCCCTGGGCTCCGCAGCCACCCCATCACCCGCTCCGCCTCGCGTTCCTCGGGTACCCAGCTGCTTTCCCCTCTTTTCAGTCCCTCATTTCACCCCCGCACGCCTTGGGTCCCCCCTTCTGAGCCTTGTCTTGGCCGCCTTGCCTCCCCAGTCCCCCTATTCCGCCCCTCCGGTTCCTCAGTCCCATTTCACCCCTGTGCGCCGTGGGCTCCACCTGACCCTCACCCGAGCCCCGTCAGTATCCTAATCCCGCCCCTCGGGCTTCCTCACCCCAGGTCCCCACGGGCCTCACCTGCCGCTCCGCTGCTCCGCGCCCCACGAGCTGCTCCTGGCCGGCCCCGCCCACTTCCCGTCCCTGGCCGCCGCGGGTGTTGCGCAGGCGCAATCCGGCCTCCGGTCGGGCGGGGCCGGGCCTCTCCTGCCGCCTGGCGGCCTCACAGCTTGTGGCTGCCTCCGTTTCATTTTAGGTGGTCAGCGGTGCTCCACCTGGGTTCAGGAGTCATGCCAGTCACTAGCCACTTGCTTGTTTCTCAAGCGTTGGGTGGGTGGTTAGATGGGAGAAAGCAATCCCTACCTCACAGCGCCCAGAAATTAAGCAACTTGCGCTGCCAACAGCTGGGAAGTGCCAGAGCAGCGATGCAAACCCAGGCTGCGCAGGGCTGCCGATCCATAAGGTGCAGGAAGCACAAGGCCCGGGCCCAACATACTTTGGGGGGCTGTGTTAGTTTCCACAAACTTAAAACAACACAGACTTATTATCTTACGGTTCTGGAGGTCAGAACCGCACAGTCTCAATGGGTTGAGATCCAGATGTCAGCAGGGTGCGTTCCTTTCTAGTGGACTCTAGGGGAGAATCCTTTCTCTTGTCTTTTCTGGCTTCTAAAGGCCACCCATATTTCTTGGCTTGTGGCCCCTTCCTCCCTCTTCAAAGCCAGACAGGGCCAGTCGAGCCCTTCTCATGATGCCATCTCTCTGGTTCCCTCATCTGATTCCCTCTGCTTTTTCTAAAGACCCTTGTGATGACATTGGGCCCACTCAGATAATCCACGATAATCTCCCTATTTTCATGTCAGTTGATTAGCAACCCTAATTCCATCTGCAACCTTAATTCCACTTTGCAATGTTCAGCACAACAGCACAGGTTCTGGGAATTAGGACATGGACATCTTCAGGGGGCCATTTTTCTGCCACCAGAGGCTCACAAAAATATTTTCTTTCAAAGCTAGAAGAAATAAATGAACTTTCAGGTCAAAGAAAATGTTTTAATATATAATATAAATACATTTGTCTTTATACCAATGTATTTGTAAGATATAATTAAAAACAATTTTTTTTAAATGGAGGATGGGCTCTCAAAAATCCTGCTGTGGCCCTGCCCACCTGACCGTCAGGTCCCCACACTGGCCCATGTCCTTCCCAGGAATTAGTGTCTCTGGGATGCTTCACTAAGAGGAGGGTTTCAGTGAAGCCAGGAATCTGGAGAATTAGCAACTGAGCAATCGAAAGGAAACCGTTTGGGGTGGGAGTGGGTCTGTGAGGCAGAGGGGTAGGGATGTCTGGGCAGAGAAAGCAGGGCAGGGGTATGTGTGTGTGGTTCTGGCTTATTCCACTCTCTTACCCCTTCCTAGATACCTATCAGTGTGCTGACCCTGAACAAGGCTTGAGCCTACTTCTTATAACCTGTAACCTTGGGCATATTCCTTAACTCCCCCGAGCTTCAGTTTCTTTACCAGAAAAATGGGGACAACAGCAGCCAAGCTATATCACAGGGTTGTTGCGAGACCCTGAGCCAGTGTTTCTCAAAGTGTGCCCGGGAGCACCTACATGAGAATGGCTGTGGGATGAAGTTTGAGAACCACAGAATAAGTGAGGTGGTACAAGTGACAGGCCCTCCCATACTGTAAAGTGCGGTGTCAGTGAAAGCTGATAACTGCAGGCCGTGTCAGCTAGAGCCACATCAAACTCTTGAACACTAATTCCATTTGAGGTTGGCAGATTAGAGATGATGGCAAAGCGAGCCACTAGGAACTTGTCCCTGTTGGGCTTTAGGCCAAGGACATACCCAAGATTACTTGTGCCCCGTGGCTCCTGTCAACGCCTTGCTGTCTGCATTCCATCACGCCTCAGCTCCAGCTTTCACCCTTGTGAAAGGAATCTCTCCATGTCACCCACTCCACCCAGCCACCCAGAGTTGACGCTTCTCTGCTTCTCTCACAAGGCTGGGCCCCTGGTGAGGTAGGCAGAGAGCTGGGGCTCCCATAGCACTCAGCCCCATGTTTTCCTTCCACCTCTGCGTACTCTGACTGAACTCTCTCTGGCCCCCAAATATCCCGTTCTGGAAGCCTGCCCTGAGCCCTCTGCTTCCTCCCCATGGGGCCCTCATCCATCTGCAGGTGGCTACAAACACCTCCCTCTTCCCTCTGTCCCTTCATACCACCCACATTGCTGGACTCATCTGAGAGACAGGATTATATCGCTCTTGGGCTTTCATATCATCAGTAATGCCCATGACCTCAGGAAGGAATTGTAAACTCTTCGCCCCTGACTTTCCAGGCCACTTGCAAAGGGGTGCCCTGGCTTCCTGCTTACAGCAGTGCTACCTTCTAAAGGGGGCCCTCTGATCTCTGTGAGCTGCTGGCTTCCTCAGGTCTGCAAGGGCCTGACCTGTGGGGAGTGGAGGAAGAGTGAGTTTGCAGCTGCAGGTCGGTGGTGACTTCTGTCTAGCAGCCCTGGAAGGGGTTTTGCACTCAATTGAACACACACACATGGGGCAGCCAGTGTCAGTGTGTGCCGGCATCTCAAGGTGACAGACATGGAGTCTGTCTAGGCAATGGTCTTTGTCCCACTGATGCAGCTCGACGGACTACCAGCCCTGCCACTGTCAGCCATGTGCAGGTCTGGTCTGTGTGGGGACTGTCCATACCCCTTTCAGAGCAGGCCGGCCTGCAGCCACCAACCTCCACAGCCTCCAGGACAGTAGGTATGGTCCTGAGGAGAATGGCTGCTCCAAAGGCAGTTTTAGCCTAAAACAGGCCTCGTCCCTTCCTTGTCTGGTTGGATGCTACTGGATGGTACAACATGAAGGGGCCTGTAGTACATGATCCAGCTTCAAAAGCCAAGGGCCTTAAAGGAGAATCACACTTAAGGGAGCTGACAAGGAAAAGTACAAGAGCACTTTGTGATTAGCCCTGCTTGCGACTGAAATCTCAGTGCAAAATCCTGGTAAGGAATGGGTGGTCAGGGTTTAAGGCCTAAGAGACAGTCTCTGTTCCTGAGCCCAAACTAACCCTGTAACTGGGCTGTTTCCCTGCAAAGGTCCTGGAGCATAAGGGAGCTGGGTCACCTGTTGTGGAGAGAGGCCCTGGGTCTGCTCACTATGTGACTGGGATATGTGGGTGGAAGAGCAAAGTCACAGCCCATGCCAGGGACCCTCCCCACCAACAGATGTGTGCCCTCAGGGGCAGCCCTCCCAGAGTGATGCCCCTTCATCTCACTGCATATTTTCTTTAAACTTCCACAGTAGTTTCCCAGATGGTGTTCCAGGAACTCCAGGGTTGGCTTGTCAGGGCTTCCGAGAGGAGGGGTCCTGGTGGGGGCCATGACTGTGTGTAATGTTGGGTGAGCTATGGTTTTCCTTTTTATTCGTGGCTGGCCAGTAGGGGGATCTGAACTCTTCACCTTGGTGTTATAACACCACGCTTTAACCTACTGAACTAACTGGCCAGACGAAGATATGAGTTTCTTTACAGAAGCTCTCCTCAGAGCCTTATATGTCCTGGTGTGAACTGTGTCTCTACTACTGAGAAGGGTGGGGGGTGTCTGTGTGTCCCTCAAACAAGTGTTCCACTGAACAGTCTGGAAAGCTGTTTTGCTTAGCTCCTGCCACCACACAGTGAAGCATGGACAGAGAACGGAGGGATTTTCCAACCCACAACGGACCTAACACAGGTGCCCTTCTTTGGTGCCAGAGTGGGAAGCACAGAAAGGAGCCCCAGTCAGATGGGTGGCCACAGCCTGTACCCGGCTGCCACAGGGTGGTTTGGCTTACAGGGCATTTTCTAAACCTGGCATGTGAACGGCTTCAACGGGGTGCCCAGCTGCCTCTGTCTGAGACAATAAGGGCTTGTCATGAGAACAGGAATTGGAACAGACCTCGGGAAGCTGCCAGAGTTGCACAAAGGCACCACATACCGAGCTTGCTAGAACTGCAGAGCTGGGAGCAGGGGGCATATAAGTGTGGGGTCAGGAGGGCGACCTGAGCAGTGCACTGGAGCGAAGGTCCAGAGAGGGCTTTCCAAGCCCCACCTGTTCCCCCTGCCAGAGGGATGGGCTGTCGGTGCCCACCTTCCTTACTGTGTCCTAGTTGTGCACCCGCACTGAAACGGGATCTGAGCCACCAAATGGCTCTGTTCCCTGTGGTTCGACTTGGTGGCCTCCTTGCAGGCACTGCCAGGGCATGGGCACAGTGGGGAGCACTTTGGACGTGTATGCAGAATGAAGGGGAGGCAAGGGAGGAGGGAGCCCCACAGGTTCCCAGGGACACAGTAACCCTCTGATATCGCTGCACTAGCAAAAGGCCCCAAGCTTCTTGCTCTAGAGAAGACAAAATGCATTTTAATGGTTTCAGTGGCACAAAGGACAATCATTGTGAGGCATCTGCACAGCATTTCACTGGCCGTCATACGAAGTAGGCCGCTAGGGCTGACATCTTGTCCTTTGGCCGCCTGGGGTTGGGTTTCCCTGGGGGCCGCCGGCCCCGGGCTCGCCCTCGACCCTGCCTCCTGCCTGGGCCGCCACGGTGCATGGGGTGGCAGGAGGCTGCATGCTTCAGCTCCACCAGCTCCTGGAAGACAGGGTCACAGAAGACACAGCCCGTGTGCTGTGTCTCGTCGCCTGGCAGCGGGGACTTGGCCTTGTTGAAGTCCACATCGAGCAGGGCAGCCTCGCAGGTGTTGCAGTTGTCGGACGACACCCGCACCCGGTAGGCGTTCTCGAAGCAGTGAGCCACCACATTGCACTTGTTGCAAGCCACCTTCCACTTGGGGCCCGAGGTGGGGTCCAGCACCAGCACCCCGCTCTCGCACTCCACACACTGGCCGATGCCCAGCATGCTCAGCGAGTGCTGGCAGGAAGGGTGTGTGCATTCGTTGCAGCCCATGCCTGGTGGGGAGACGCGAGCCCCGTAAGCACACTAGCCTGCTCATCTCCCCTCTGCAGCTCCAGGGGCCTGCTCAGTGCCTCAAACCCCTGGATCCCTTGTCCCAGCAGAACGAACTCCTCTTGGCCTCACTCTTGGGAACACCCCTGCTCATGGGAACCCTTGGCTCCTGAAGTCCCCAGGCTGCCATCACCTCCATTCTCTGCATATCTGAAACTTCCTCAGCCTTCGAGACCTTCCTGCCCAGCTAATTCCAGCTGAGCCCATCCCCCCTTGCTTTGCTTCTCCAATTGGTTATTGGCAGCTTCATGTGGTCCTGATGTCACTGGGCCTCATGGGACTTCAACTGCTCTGGAAGCTGTCGGAGGGCAGGGACAGAGCCTCACTCTTCCTGGCAGCCTGAATGCAGATTGTGACCCCTGAGGGTTCTCTCCAGACTCCCTGTAGGCGAACACCTCACTCCTGCTGGCTCCTTGTGGGCAGTATAGGATGATGATACCCCACGAGGCCAAGTGGGTGTAAAGGAGCTGATACAGCTGTTGGGGAGTGCACTGGGCCCTGGGCCCCCTTCAGGCTCCTAGCTCGCTGCTCTCTGCCCTGCCCAGACACACACTTGCCTTTTTCCAGTAACAAGCACAAGGAGAGAACAGCGGTGGACACTGAGGGCACACCGCCCACTTATCCTCTCACTCACCCCAGTCCACAAGGGGGCACAGTTACAACCCCTGCCCAGATCCTGACTGAGTGGACTAGATTAGCCTGCCTACTTGTGACCTGGGCAGAGGGTGGCAGACTGGCTGGCTGATGCATGAGCAGAGCCCCAGATACACTCTGGGGTCTTTTATCTCAGTGCCAGGGTGAGGTGTCCCCTTAGAGTCCAGCATGGTATGAGGCAGGGGCTGATGCTGAACAGAGACCGCAGGGACCCAGCAGGGACGGGGAGGCCAGGCTCAGGAGGGAGTGGCCAGGGATGGGAGATGCTGCACTCACCTTTCTTCATGTCTCGGAAGGGCGGGTGGTTGTAGCAGTAGGGGCACAGAGGGTAGCTCTTGCCCCGAGAGCCCGAGGACCACAGGACCAGCTCGAAGTCGTCCAGTGGGCACCGGAGCTCCTTGTAGAGTTTGATGGTGCCGTTCTGCGGGAGGGTGTAGGTCTCATCGCAGTGGGAACAGTGCAAACGGCTTGGCTTGGCCTGCAGCAATGCCAGGGAGGGGCACGAGGGCTGCTGGGGCCACCGACTCTCCCACTGCCCTCGTTCCCCTCATGATACAGAGTAGGCGCCATATAACACACAATACACGATACAGAATCTGCAACGGGTAACACAGAGTCCGTAAGACATTTCCCAGCTAGGAGTCTCAGGACACTTGCTCCACCCATGAAGAAAGGCAGTTCTAAAATCCCTGCATGGATGTTAATACTCATGATAGCAAGAACTGTGGTGTTAGGAAAAAATGGACAGTATGTGTTTAAATGGCCTAATGGCTTATGTGTTCCTGGGGTCATGGGGAGATTGTGGTGTTTGTTGGCAAGGCTGCTTTAGGCCTCTCAATCATTCTTGTGTGACAACCAGGACAAAGAATATCATTCCTGTGTGGCTGACAATAAAGAGGCCTGAAGAAGTGACATGGCTTGTCTGAGTTAGCGCACAGGCACTGCAGGCCAGAGGGGCAGTCACAGCTCTTCACCCCCACCTACCTGGATATACTTCATGAATCGGTGGCACTTCCCACAGCGTGAAAGGGGCTTGCCTGTGGCTGCTAGAGGCGAAAAAGACACCTCCATCAACTCATCCATGCCTGGGAAGAAGCAGAGTGGAAGAGACTCATGTCCCTCCTTGTCTCCAAGAGCGGACTCCAGCAGCCCACCTGCCCAACAGATGGCTTGGGCTAACTGGGTTGACTGGGGGAGAGGCCACCAGGCATGGCCAGAGATCTGAGTGTGAACATGTCCCTGAGTGCAGTGGGGATCCTGTTTCGGCAACAGAACAGCAGAGCAGTGGTCCCGTCTGTGAGACATGTGTGTCCCTGGCTCTGTGAGTGGCGTGGATGCACCTGCTCTTTAATCCTGACAATAACCCAGGGAGGAGGACCATCACGTTGGCCCGTAGAGGCCTGGAGTCCAGATCTGGAGCTGGTCTCATGAGGGGGCCCCCCAGAACCCTGAGTGTTGGTGGCCCCGACGAAGGGTCCTCTGGTGAGGGCACAGAAGAGGCGGGCCTTACCAGCGATGGAGTCAACGAAGTAGTGGAACTTCCTCTTGAAGACGTCCAGGGTGTGGCCCAGGACCTGGCGGTAGTCAGCCCTGCCCTGGGCGATCAGGTTCAGCTGCTTCTCCACCGCACTACGGATGGTGGGGAGCACAAGCTCCGCGTCTGCGGCAGGCAGGGGGGCAGATGCTGCTGTGAGTACTCACACCCAGGGGCTGTGACACCCCTACCAGGCAGGGCAGGAGCCACTGCCCTGCCCACCCCTCCAGCTTAACCAGTCTTCCAGGCCTCTCCCTAGGCTACCCGTCCACAGAGTTGGATGGTACCAGGCTGCCTTCTATGTCTGCAGGCCTTTCCTGATTTCCCACCAGGAAATCTTGTGCAGTGACCAGGGACATCCTGCATATAGGACCACATCACAGATGTGCTCCGGGTTATCCCTGAGCCAGGTCTGCCTCTCCATCTCCCACAGGCCCCTGTGGGACCTCCACGGGCCAGAGCAGGCAAGCACCTTAGCAAGGACCCAGGCCCAGCCAGCCCTGGGAGGCAGGACAGAGGGACTCACCGATCTTGTAGTAGCCGTGCACCAGGACGATGCCGAGGTTGGTGGGCTTGAGCCGGCGCCCGCTCTCCACGGTGACATAGTTGCGCTGGCAGATGTTGTTGATGTGCACAGGAATGCTGGCGTCTGTCCCTGAAATGCATAGCAAGGCCTTGGTATTCCTCAGTCTGCCCTTGACAAGCCCTTTCAGATGTGTGGCCCAGCTTCACCCTCACCTGTCACAGGGTCCCTGCTTCTGGCCCCTCCCTGGCTGCTCCTGGCCTCCCAGAGGAGGGAAAGCTTTGTGCCTGAAGTGCCCCCTGCACTGCGTGGGGCACTGCACCACATGCCTTTCATGTACTGCCTTGTGAACCCAAGGACAGCCCTCATAACATGAGGTGCTCATTTCTGCTTTACAGTTGAGGACAGACGCTCAGAGAGGTCAGGGAACTCTGTCAAGGTCACGGAGCTTATTATGCTGCCTGATAAATGTGACCTTTTTGGCCTCTCCTGCCTTGATCCTGTGGTACTCACTTCCCTCCTGGAACCTGGGCCCAGTCCCCTGAATACAGAGATGTTTTGCCCATTTCCTGTCTCCTGACTCCTCCCTCTCTCCAGGGTCCCTCATGACCCCCAGGGCAGGTTCCCAGGTCCAGGGCTGCAGCCTCCTCTGCCCTGAGGAGGCTCCTTGGCAGAGAAAGCAAAGTTAAAGTTGAGGCTTTCTGACTATAGTTTGCCTTGGTCAAGGGGGAGAAAAAGACGATGCTTATTGCACACTTGCCATCTTCCCAAAGCAATTCCACAAAGAAGAATTTCCCATGCGAAGAAGCTGGCGTCTGGAGGCTGAGGAGCCTGCTGAGGTCCTGCGGCTCTAGGCACAAGGCTGGGATCTGAATCCAGCTGTGGTAGTGCTTTGAGTGGCACTGTGCCTGTGCAGGGCTCTGCAGCCCCACTGTATCTCAGCCATAGCCCCAGGTGGCAGCTCTCTTTAGGCCCTTCTGACACAGCCCTGTGGACCTCAGTCAACAGGGCCACCCTTGACCACTTTCCTGTTCAGAAGGCAACACAAAAGCCCTCTTCACTGTCACAAACTGCAGCTCCTTTTGGTTAGTGGGTCCAGACCACTGTCTTGTGTATGACTGCCAGAAACACGACATGGAAGGGTCCCTAAGCTAGAGCAGGGCTGTCCTGTTAACAGGAAAGGACAGAGCATGCTGGTGAGCTATCCCCACATGCCACAGCACCCACTGTAGGCCCTGGAAGGAGCAGGACCAGATCCTGATACCGAGACAGACCTCAGCTGGCTGTGGACTTGGGAGGATGCAGATCTGACTTTTGTGAATTGTTTGGCATCCTGGGCCAATCCTCAGCACTGTGGGCATTAGTCAGTGTGTGCTGGCCCTGTAGTGCACAAGGGTGCATGTCGGCCTTCATGGGGAAGGCCAGGTCCCGACATGGAGCCCTTGTGAGGGGCTGTCTGCTGTGGGCCTGCCCAGCTCGGCTGGCCACACGCTGGGCCACCAGTTATTGGCCCCTTCACTGGGTTGGGAAGATAGGGGTCACCTGGCAACTTTGCAAGTACAGACTCTTGGGCCCAGTCCTAGAGATGGGAACCCTGAGTTTGGGGTCCGGGGGGGATGCACCCACCGATGCCGTGTTTCTCCATGAGCGTGATGAGCTCGGCTTCAGTCAGGTAGTCAGGCGGGTTTGTCTGCTTCTCCAGCATCTTTACCTCGCCCACGGCAAATGTGTCACCCCTCTGGCAGGTGGGGAGGCTCTCTTCTAGGGGCACACTCTGCCAGGGCATGATCTCTGTGTAGCCTGGAGAGACATAGCACTGCCACTCAGGGTCCCTACCTGGCCTCCCATTCCTGGATCCAACGTAGAACATTCTGTCTCTGTAGATGAAGAGAGGAGGTGGCCTGGGACACGCAGTTTTACCTGGTGAGATGATGGTCTTCCCCGAACAGGTGAAGAGCTCCTGCCCAATCCTGAAGGAGATGGTGCTCTGAAGGTACTTGCAGTCGTGGCTGACTGTGGCGATGAAGTGTCTGGTGATGTACTCATAGAGCCGCCATGTATCACCCCCTGCAACAGGCCTGGGGCTGGTCACCTGTGAGCCCAGCCAGGGGCTCTGGCTCTAAGGACCCCCCAGCACTCTCACTTGAGCAGCAGGGCCCTACTGATAAGTCCTCAGGGTGGGATGCCAGGGCCAGCCTGCGCCAAATCCCCAGGAAGGAGGGAGGAAACTGCACAGGAAGGGAAAGCACATCTCCGTGTCTTGGGGGTTCCTTCACAGCCACGGCTCCCATTACCTCCTGCACATGCTTCCAGTGGGACTGCTCTTCAGGTGCTGAGCCTGTCACACGGCTATCTAGTGACATGTCACTGTGGCTCCAAACTCAGACTGTACACAGTGGCTGCTGTCTCCACCACACTGCTCACTCTTCCTCATCTGCCTTCTCCCGGCACGTGGGCCACGAGCACTGCCTCAGGCCGGAGGAGGTAGGAGGTGCTCCCATTGTCCAGCCCTGTCACGCTCTGCCTTGGTCCCATCCTGTCACTTGCCTCCACTTGCCTCCCCCTGACCAGCCACCTGTGCCTGCTGCCACCATTTCACTCCTGCCCTAGTCCTGTGGTGATGGAGCACAACTTTCAGGTGACTCCCCTCGCCACAGCCAGGGCAGGTGGGGGCGGAAGGAGCCCCCACATTGTCAACGGGGCCTGACACTGTCCAACAGTGCCTCATTGCTGCAGCTGCTTGTGTTCCCTCCCTGGGGGCTTGCGTGTGTTGGGACGGGGTGGAGTGGGGGACACCTGATACCTAATTCGGCCTCTGTGGCAGACCTCATGGGGGTGATGGGGGGATGGTCGCCAGCATCGTGGCCTTTTCGTGGGCGGTTGATGCCATCCGCTAACAACTGCTTCACCTGAGGGAGAGAAGATAGCAGAGTCCGAGTGTGGGTAAGCCCGCCCTCCCACCAGCCCTGGGTTTGGGCAAAGTGCCTGAGCCGCTCCTGAGGCCTTGGTGCCAGATGTGTGCAGGTGTGGGTGGCTCCACTCACTGTGTCAGCCCAGTAGGGGTGGTTGGCCTGCTGCCGCAGACAGCCCTTCAGGTCAAAGTTCTCGGGGTAGTGGGTGGTCTCTGTCCGCGGGTAGCTGATGTAGCCTTGTGTGTAGAGCCGCTCTGCCGTCTGCATGGCGTGCTGCGGCCCCATGCCTGTGAGAGAGAGGAGGCTCAGCTAGCCCGAACACAGGACGGCCAGGTGCCCGACCCCAGGCCTGTGTGCTCAGGCTTTGGCACCTGCTGGAGGGCAAGGGGGGCTCTGGGTGGGCATGGCTGAAGCACCCAGGACGGGGCCTGATGGGAAACACTGCTTGCTCTGCTCCACAGCGCTGGTGGTGGTGGTGAGCAGATGTGGCCTTCAGAACACCTCTCCCCCACATCCTGGCCACAGACCCGTAACCACACCATGGGGGCTGCCGATGCCTGCTATGACGACTGACAACGATGGAGGAGTTAGCACATGCCCTCAGCTCTGAGCACTTGGGTGTTTCTGTCCTCATGGCACTCTGGGCCACTAAAGACCAGCAGAGGCTGGTGCTCAGCTAGCCATCATTCAATGGCATGGTTGCCCTCCAAGGACCCTGGAAGCGCCACTCAGAGAGAACACTGCCATAGTTCCCTGCAGGGGGCCGTTAATGCCCAGAGACAACCAGCTGCCAGCCAAAACCCCTTCTTGCTACTGAGGAAATGAGGCTCAGAGAGATGGTGCTCACACCTGTTCCCAGCAGGTGACACCTGAATGGGCCTCTTCCCTGCACCAGCAAAAGCTGCTCCGGGACCCTACCGTCAGGACGTCCCTCTCAGGTAGTGGCCAGCATTACCACTGCATTTAAAAAATGTGCTATTTCACATCATTTAATCCTTACCGCAACCCAGAGCTAGGTAATATCGTCACCTAATTTTCTCATGAGGAAACTGAGGCTCGGGACAAAGAAGGAAGTGGCCAGGCTGGGATTTAGAACAGGGTTTGGTTCCGGAGCTGGAATTCCAGAGTTTAATGCCTCTGAGGGGACTCCACTGATCCAGGAATAGGTGAGGGCCCTGCCTTGAGGGTGGCCTTCCATGCGTTCAGTCCTGGCAGCAACTGCTTGGACAACGAATACTATGAAATAGTTTGTTTCCCCACATAAATTCAAAGCTGTTGAGTATTAACCAACAATCCTTTGAAATGAGATCTTCTCTCCTGTTTTTGTTTCTACTCTGGAACTTAGAGAAATAACATCCGCAGGAAGCTCAGGTCCTCTCTAAGCCTCGGCACCAGTGCATGGGAGAGGTGCTCAGCACAGGTGAGTAGTGGCTGAGTGGGCCACTGCCCATGTGCCTCAAGAAGTCTCTTGGGGTTTTAGAGAAACACGCCTACGTACCCAAAGAAGAGCTAGCCACACGCAGCATCTCCACGGTGTTCAGGGCCAGGGGCCTCTGCTTGGCTTTTTCTTTCCTGCTTGTGGCCTCCACCTGGAAGATGGGACACATTGAGTGATTTTTGGAAGGGAGAAGAAGCCACAGAAGAAGAAATCAAGATATGTGGGCAAAGGGTCTGGTTTCATTCCTTTGGTCTCCCTGCTTCTCATACTCACTCTCCCCAGCAGTCTGAAGACTTGACTGAATATTTATTCAGGACTATGAAGGGGAAAAAGAATGAAAATTCTTTTCTAGAGAATTTTCTAAGGAAAAAGAAAACCTGGAGGAACGGGAAGAGTCAGGAAAAGGGGCAGCAGATGCAAACCCTACAGCAGCAAGTGTCACCCAGGCTGTGGATGGCAAGTGAGGCCTGTCTCGGGGCAGTGCCTGCTGCCCTCTGTGTGTGAGGGCTGTCATCTGGGCCTCTAGTATTGCTACATCTTCCGGTTTCTCAATAGAAGCTGCAAGTCAGGATTTTTGTGAAATATCACAATTTTTAAATGTTGCTATACATCTGAGGGCTGTGCTACCATTTTCCACCTCTGGACTGAACACTTATCAGAAGAGACAATTCTTTGTTTTGCCTACGACCAAAACAATCCACACAACTCAGCCCCAGGCTACTGCCCTTGCCAATCCATGTAAACAGGCTAGGGCAGTGCCTTCTGGATTCCAGACCGGCAAACGTGGGTGCTCACACTGAGGATAATTGTGTATGTGCAGTAGCGAAGGCTGGGATCACTTGGGGTGAGGTCTGGAGGTGGAGATGGTGTCTCTGCAGGAATGTGATCAGTGCTAACAGCATGCACCAGCATTAGAAGTTCTGGAAGCCTGAGACAACTGCATGGGTGGGCAAGAGGACATGTAAGAAAGACTGGGGAAGGACAGGAAGAAGGCAGCTGAAGGGGGCCAGGCTGTGCCTCAATGACTCTGGTAGCTGTCATAGCTGTAAGGGCATTTACTACGATGGCTTCAGACCTGCCTCACCCTGAGCAGCCAGCCCCTTGTCAGGTCACATCACCCTTTTCCTAACAGCCTAGCAGTATGTCCTTCCAATTCACAAAAACCCCGAGTAAGAAACACAACCAATAAATGCATGAAAGCTAAGGGTGAGATCCCAGGCCCGTCCCCTGCTGTGTGACCTCAGGCAAGTTCATCGATGTGCACATAGGTCCCTCTACAGTTGTTAGAGGTAGAAATGAAGTCCCGAGATAAGGCCCACTGGGTCACGTGGAAAGGAGAGAGTAGAAGGCGCCTGGCAGGGTCACAGGTGTGAATGGTGCCTGGTACGGAGTGGGCATGTAGTACACTGTAGCTATCACGTTGGGCAGAAATATCACAGTAGGAGTATATGCAGGAATAACCATTCCCCTTTCCAAAAAGATGTCCATGTTTCAGAAAGCAGGAGAAAGACAGCCCTAGGTTACAACCTATTCCTCCAGCCAGAGGCTTCCAAGGGCCACCCAAGGCAAATGTGATAGGTGTGGGTAAAGCAGGTGCACCTTGGCTTCCTTCTCTAGCTTTGTCATATTTAAAAACATCTGTGCGATCTCCCGGTCGAACACTCTCACTCGGTCCCAGTCCAAAAGGAGAGATCTGTCTTTATCAGCATTAACCTGCAGGAAGAAGGATAAAAGGTGAACACACAAGAAAAAGTATCTAGGTGAGGCCATCGGCAGGGCAGATGAAGTTAGTCCTTATCTGGGGGTAAAACAATCCTAGCTCTACTGTCTCACAGCTGTACCTTTTTGGGTGTGTAGCTGACACCCAGCCCCCTCCTCCACCTGAAAACAGGCAGACTGTCTCAGGAGGATGGGCTGAAACTGAGACTGATGTCCTCAAGAAGCCTCTGAGCCTCTACCTCTCACACCATCCTTGTTCACCCCCAAGGCCTGGCCAGCACTAGGTGTGGCCCCATCTAGGGGTCCCCAGATCAGTGTCAACCAGGGCAGGTTTTTGTTATGTTTTAACTCTTATGACGAGCTTCTGTGGAGGCTTTTATTTGAAGAAAAAGTTCTAGGACTTTTAAAAAGTTTAAATACCAGTGGCCTCGGGCCGGCCCGTGGCTCACTCGGTAGAGTGCGGTGCTGATAACACCAAGGCCCCGGGTTCGGATCCCACATAGGGATGGCCGGTTAGCTCACTGGCTGAGCGTGGTGCTGACAACACCAAGTCAAGGGTTAAGATCCCCTTACCGGTCATCTTTTAAAAAAAAAAATAAATAAATAAATGCCAGTGGCCTCAGTCCAGCCCTTGGACCTGATTACTGCAGCAGCTGGGTAATGCAGGGTGACCTCACCCCACACTGCCAGAGCTGAACTCCTTCCCAATCATGCAAATCCAATGCACCCACACCCAGTCTAGCTCCACTGCCCCCGTGAAAGCTGCAGGTCCCCTTCCCTGGGCACCACAGACCACTCTCAGGTACAGCTGTTCACACTTGTGCCCTCAGCCTGGGGCCTGTGAGATGATGATGATGGAAGTCTGTCAGAATCCATACCCCCACCCTGGAAAGCCCCAGAATGAACAGAGAAGGGAAAGGAACCTTGGCCTGCAGCACCCAGTAGGTCTCCGGTTTGAAGGACTGGATTTTATCATGTCTTTCCACGCAGAATCCCAGGGTAGGAGTCTGACATGGCCCAAAGGAGATGAGAGAGCTGTCTAAATCACCATATTTCCCCTGGAAATATTTAGTCTGAAACCTAGAGGGAATGGTGGGGATGGGTGGGGTAGGAGAGAGAAAGATACTTTGGTCATGATTCACTCAACACACTAATGTTAAACACTGTGGGAGTCCAGCCCAGGGCTAGGGGTGGTGTGTGCAGGAGGGGGCACAAGGTAGCTGCTCCCCGCTTAGAAGACAGTGGAAGAGGCAGAGGGCATGTGGCCTTCAGGGAGAAATTTTGTGTGTGCAGTGACAGAGCAAGCGAGAGAGAGGCTCCCGCCACCTCGGGCCAGGGAGCCTTCTATTCTATTCCGTCTGCTGCACACTCTCCTCAGGACCCCTAGAGTGTAGACAAACACACTCTGTTTATCAAGCAGTGGCCTGTGTGATCTATGTCAGCTAAATATACAATTTTCCTCAGGGTTTTTAAAATGGTGAAAATTGCCTGCTGTCTTCCTGGGATCCAAGGCCCAGGGGCCACAGATCAGAACTGCAAAGGCAGGCGCTATGGCTGGAGGGAGGGCGTGGGTGGCTGGGGCTGCCTGCATGGTGCGGCCAGCACCTGGTGAAGGCACAGCCAATGCGCAGGTCCAGCTCCTGGCGGGCGTCCACCGAGAGGGCCTCATTGTGGTCAGGCTCGCCCAGGTGGGCCATGGCATTACAGATGTCTGTGTCCGTGATGGAGCTGAACCTGGCCCGGAACACTGTCTTCTCGCCACTGTGGCCCTTGTTCATGACGGGCAGAACAGCATCAAGGACCTGGGGGGAAGTGCAGCCCATCTGTGATCACCTTCAAGGTCTCTGCCTCCTGCCCCACACCTCAACTGTGAGGCCTGGCACATGCGCGATCCCCCGGCCCCTCTGCCCCCAACTCTGTTTTCAGATCCTCCTCCATCTCTCTCCCCTTCCAGAAACCTCAGCCCCTCCACGACACCCCTGCCAAATGCTGTCTACAAACATGTTCAAACAGCTCCTTCTTACTACCGCCCGCAGCTGCTGCCCTCTCTCTTCTACCTTCTGCTCTCACCCCGCCAAACCAGGAATGCTAATGCCAAGCATGCAAGGGATCTTATGTTCTCAAATCCATCCTACTAGACCCATTTCCCCTCCTTCTAGCTGGAGGGAGTGCTTGGAGGAGTGGGTGGAACTTTTAAAAGACTGGAGAAAAGACACAGAAAGAAAAAAAGAACAAAGAGGAAAAGGGAATGGGCAAGCGTGGGAAGGCCACCCCAGCTTGTGGGTGGGGGTCTGGACAGATGAAGCAGAGCAGGGGTCCTAAGAAAGCCGTGCAGTGGGAGGGGAGTCACTGCTGGAGCCTGGCCGTGCAGCTTCCTTACGGGGAAGAGGTAGCTTCGTTTCTGAAGGGAAAAGGACCCACAAGCTGCTACCATTCTCCACCCCAAGATGCAAAGGCCTCCAGGAGGAGCAGCCTGCAGGGGAGGGGACAGGAGAGGGGTGTCTGGGAAGGCACAGAGCATGATGAGTGTACTGATGGTGTTGCACTGGAACACCAGCTGCCCCAGCTCTGTCTCACTGGAAGTATCTCCTGTGCCCTGAGGTGTGCCAGGCCCCCGGTGAGAGCTGGGGGTACAGAGGCATGGGGGTGACTCATACAGAACCACAGCCTGAGGGGCACCAGGTGAGACCAACAGTCATGACTGGTGTGAGGGTTCTGCAGTCAAGGTAAGCACAGAGCATGGGGTGCATGGGGAGCTGCCACCTGCTTCTCCACAGGCAGGGTCCCGAGGGGTGGGAGGGCATCGTGGGTGGGGCAGAGGATGCTGGAAGGCAGGAAGTGAGAAGAATGAAGCCTGGGAAAGGAGCTGAGGCGAGGGATCAACCAGCATCAATCGAAGGTCCCCAAGAAGCTCCAAGATGGGCCCAGGATGCTGAAAAGCAACCTGTTCCTTGAGACAGCCCCATTCTGAAACTTGCGCCCACCCAAATAGTTCTGCCTTTCTACATTCATTCATACCATGTCTTTCCAGGAAGTGAAGTAACACTCGATCATCCTTAGTAGGATCCATGCATTTTAAAGTGTTTATAAAATTTCCAAAATAAAGGGGGGAAAGGCATTTTTAAGCCAATATAGTTTATTCCCCACTCTGGCCCTGGGAATGGTGTAGCTGTGAGCATCAGTCCAGGGTGGGTAGCAAAAGGCCAAAAGGAAGGACCGAAGTGGGGTCCATACTTCTTACCTCAAAGCAAATGTTCTCCCCTTCTTTGTCGCAGTCCAGCCACAGCACAATGTAGTCACAGCCTCTGCCCTCCACCTGCCACATAACATGAGTTAACATGCACCTGCCACAGGCCCCAGTCCCGCACCTTACAGCTCCTGCCTGCAGTGCTCCCCATCAGGGACAAGAAGTAGAACCCAAGCCTCAGGAGGACTAGGCCCGGGCTGAGCATGCAACTGGCTGCAGTGGGACTAGCTCAGCCTCTCTTCCACCTGCGAGTGCACTCATCTTCCAGAGAGGAGAGGAACAGCTGTGGCCTCTCCTCCCATGCATCAGTTCTGTCAGCTCCGAGAGCAGCACTTCCACCTTGGCTGAGCATTGGGATGCTCTGGGACACTTTACAAAATGCAGATGCCTAGGCCAGGCTCTCTAGGTCCTTCTGACCCAGGATCGGGTTGAGACTGCCTGCCAGAGGGTCCAGTTCAGGACTGCTATTTTTTTTTTGGACAAAAAAAAAAAAAAAATTATAGCTGCAATATGATCTTAACCCCAAAACCTACATAGAAAAAGGGCTGAAATGAAATAACCCTAAATGTTAACAGTGGTCATCTTGGGTAGTGTGATTATGAATGTTTTTTTCTTCTTTCTATTTATATTTTCCGTAATGTGTATGTATGTTTTAAAATTAGGAAAATATAGCCATCTTGATCATACAATTTCAAAAGCAGAATGCCTGCTCTCCAGGACTGAGTGAACTGGTGCCCAGGCTGACCAATCGAACTGTAGGGAGGGCCAGGCCTGAAGGTACCTCATGGGCCAGTAGGGGGTGCTCACAGAAGGGGCTGAAAGACCTCTGTTTAAGACGCGAATAAGGACTCAAATAATGGCGGGCAAGAATGGCTCCCAGTGTGCACGCACCTGTAGGAACTTCACCATGTTGAGCTTGGGGTTGGCTTCCTTCTTCTCTGTCGGAGCTTGGCTGAACAACTCTGCAGGATCCACCTTGTCCCACTTGTTATACTTCCCTATAAACCACAGTCATAGTGAGTGTCAAAACCCCAGGAGGATGGTGGTCTCATCTCAAATGAGGAGAGTGAGGCTTGGAGGATGATTTGCCCAGGGTCAGCCTGACAGTCAGAGGCAGAGCCAGGAAGTGTGTTCAGGTCTTTGGGTAACCCCCACCCACCTGGTCTTCCTTCAACTGGGCTGCTGAGCTGATGCCACACCCTGGCCACCGACTAGAGCCTAGCAAGCTCTTGGCAGGGCTGCTGCTCCGGCCTTGCTTCTGGGACCTTCCCTGTGGCTGGGAGCACTGCCATTCCTGGACTGGCTCACTTTGCCGGAACACAGAATCGTGCCCTTGTGCCCTTGTTGTCTCTTCCAACCTGGATTTCTGTCATCCTCTTCCTCCACCTGGCACTTGATGGGGCTCCTCATGGGGGGCCAGCCTCTTTGGCCTCCATGTCTAGCACCTCTACCTGCTTCTCTACATAAGGCCCAGCTCTGGCATGCTTGGCCCTCTGGCTTTCTTTTGGGCCTCATTTCCTGCAGCCTGGGAGAATGGGGTCTCCTGCTGGCTGGAGATAAAGCTTGGGGTCCAAAGGCTGGCCACACAACTCAATTGCCCTCATTGTCATCACTGTCGACAATGAGCAGCAAGAACAACTACTAAGACTTTGCTGTGTGCCAGGCCCTGTGCTAAGGGCTTTACCTTCACTGTCACACTGAATCTTCAGCAGTCTTGGGAAGCAGATGGCACTGTCATAACATTTGAGAAAAGGAAACTCACAGAGGTTGTCACTGACCTGGCCCCAGCAAGCTAGCGGAGTAAGAGTCAGACTCTTGTCAACCACACAGCCCTGCAACTAGACTTGGCGGGTCACTATGCTGACCCTTCCAAGCTAATGGATAACAATAATGATACAAAGATGACAATGATGGCCACCAAATGACCGATGGACAACAGTCAATTCACCAGGAGCAGCAGCCCTCTCCTGGATACCTGCACGGGCCGGGCCCCTCCTGAGATAGGGACCACCACCTCATCTGCATAGGAAGGTGTACAGGGGTGCTTCTGGGATGGGGACCCTCAGGGGTGCTGAGCATCAGAGCCTGGGCTCTGGGTACCTCACCCAGGGACCCCCAGTTACCACTCCACAATCTGCTGGCCTCCTGACTCATGAATTCTGGACACACTTCTCTGCCCAGAGGTGTTCCCCGGGCTCCAGCTAGACACTGGGCAACACCATGCGGGGCTTCACTCAGTGGAATGGGGGGGCCTACCCAGGAAATCCAAGGTCATCACGTGCCCACAGACAGATGTCATCTTGAAGCACACTGGCTGGCCAGCGAAGGTTCCAGTGTACTCGTGGACTGAGCATGCTCCGTTCAGTCCTTTGTGTGAGGACATGTTCCCTGGGGAGGAGAGACGCACACAGTGATGGCTGCTCCTGCCAAGTTGCAGATGCTGCGAAGACCCCAGGACTGGATGCTGCCTCTCAGAGGGCCAGGTCCCTCTCTCCCCAGAGAAGTCAGTGATAACATTCCTCAGGCTGCTGCTGGTAACTGGGTACTGAGAGACTTAATTGCGTTTGGGAAAAACAGCCTCTGTAAACCACATAGCTCAGCGAGCTTGCAAAGCAGTGTCGCAGGTCAGCTGGGAGCCAGGAGCAGATGCTCTCAGGCTCTTTTTCTGTATTTTTGTTTTCCCTCTTCAATTCGATTCTGTCTCACTTCATTCAAGCTTTACTCAAAGGTCACCAGGGATCTCTTAATTACCAAATCCCACGGTGTCTTCTCACCCTCTCCACTGATGGTCCCTCAGCTGAACTTTCTTGGCTTCTGGGGACCAGGTACCACTTCTCAGGTTTCCTCTCCCCTTCAAACCATGGCTTCTCAGCTGTACTAGGGTCTCTTCCTCCACCAACTACTGGACCAGGGGGAGGTCAAAGTGGATGCCTGCCATTTTTTGAGTACCCAGCATCCAAATACCCTTTCTATATGGAGGGAATTCAAAGATAGGAAGGGAAACGGCACCCTACCAACCACCCCAGTGGCCAGAGTTGGGGGAGAGGGGCAGACATTTCCTGTTCCAGCTCTCTGGTGTCTCAGGAGTGCCTGTGGCCAAGCTCAGCCTATCAGTTACTTGTGAGTGATGTGAAGTGTGGGGGCTGTGGTTGCAGCTAAGTCAAAGGTTCAGAGGTCAAGGTCAGTGTCCAGCAGGACTATGCCTATGGCATGGCTCATCAGACTTCGTCAGGGGGGAGGGCGTGGTATACAGATGAAAGTTTATTGCTTAGGCTTGAAGGAAAGCTTAGGCTTGGTCTTTCCTACCTCGAGAGAGGATTCTGGCAATGGACTGTGCCAATGACGGCTTTTCTGCAACCATGAGCACAATTTTCATCTTGTCTCAAACTGTCTGGCCCTCAGATCTTCACACTTTCTTCAGGGCAATGGCAATGACAAAGCTCAGAAACTCTCTTCTGCAGCTGAGCACTGCTATCAATGCTGACTCCTAAAGAGAAGAAAAGATGCTCAGAAAACAGCAATGCTTCCAATAGAACCTATACCACTAACGAGGAAACTCACTTTAAAAACAAAACAAAATACCCTAAGACAAGAAAAAATAAAATTAGGGAAACCTGAAGACATCTGACATAGAAACAACTGCTCAGGTCAACTGAAGTGGCTCAGAGATGACCTTGGGAATCTGGCTTCGTTTTGGGGGAAGGTGAAATGGCCCCAGTGATCTCAGGTCAATTTTGTCCCTAAATCCATACTAGGAAGATGTTGAGGCCAATAGGCCTGGACTGATGGGCTGGGGCAGGTGGGTACCTGGCCCTCCTCCCTGGGCTGGCTCTTCCACCTGCGAGTGCACTCATCTTCCAGAGAGGAGAGGAACAGCTGTGGCCTCTCCTCCCATGCATCAGTTCTGTCAGCTCCGAGAGCAGCACTTCCACCTTGGCTGAGCATTGGGATGCTCTGGGACACTTTACAAAATGCAGATGCCTAGGCCAGGCTCTCTAGGTCCTTCTGACCCAGGATCGGGTTGAGACTGCCTGCCAGAGGGTCCAGTCCCCAGTGGAGCTCCAGAGGCCCTTCACATCTGCCTTCCTGCCTACCCCACTCCACCTCTCACTTCATAGGCCATGCTCTGGCCAAATTAAAATGGACACCATGATCTAAAGAAAAAATACATTGAAGCTTCTGTGCCTGTGTTACTTTGCCTAGAATACTCCGTCAAGCCTGGAGATCAGCTTGACTGATCACAGGCCCAGCTAATGTGCTAACTCTTCTTTAAAGAGCTCTCCCAACACCCACTGGCTGGATGAATCGTTTCCTCCTGTGTCTGCGGCTCTTGGGTTAGGTCTCTGTTCCAACCCACTGCACATCACGTCACAGTCAAGTCACTGCCTCATCTCTAAAATAGGACACAAGTGGCTTAATGTCTGAATTGCTGCTGGCATGTCCATCAGCTTTCTGTGCCTCATACATGACATTTAACACCTGCTAGCCAAATAAACAAAATCCACACGGACCCTTTCTGTCATCTTGGTCATCGTAAATATCGCATTAATGCTTATAAATATAGCATTGCCTTAAAAAAAAAGACTTGTATTGAGACAACTGGGCATCCTTCTAGGAAAAAAAGTTAGACTCCTACTTCATAACTCTTACAATAACAGATTCCAGATCTAGCAAAGATTTAAGTAAAAAAACAAAACCAGAAAATTATTATAAGAAAACATGATTATTTTAAAATAATCTCAATATGAAGGGGAAAAAAAAAGAAAAACCAAAGTCACTCAAAACTCAGAAGCACCTGAAACATGTTTAGATGTAGCTGGTTTCCTTTTCTGTGAACGGCCTATTCACAATTTTTTACCCACTTTTTTCAACTAGATTGTTGTTTTCTTATTTTTAGGAGTTAGCCCTTTATGATGTGAAATAATGTCCAACAACACTCGTCAAAGAAAATTAGAGCTAAGACGAGTATGTGCTTATCTCACTAGCAAAGACCCAAAGTTTGAGCACACCGCTCAGGATGAAGGTGTGGGAAGAGGCAAACAAACAAACGTGGGAAAGCACAACCTCTATGTGGAGCAATTTGGTGATACCTCTCAAACTACAAGTGCACATCCCCAGCAATTCTATTTCTAGTAAAGAATTCAATTAGTTCAGTTTTTTATTGAGCACCTACTACATGTTAGGCCCAGTCCTCGGTATAGGGAATACAGCATTGAGCAACACTGGGTCCTGGACTCCTGGGACTCACCCTGCAGTGCTGGGGAGTCGATATGTGTGTGTGTGGGGGGGCGTGGTAGGGAGGGAAGGGGCAGGGCTGCATCCAGGGGATGCCACTGGACATTGCAGCGCCTGTGACAAAACACACCCCTGGGGAATTCTCTGGAGCATTATCATTCATAATGAAAGATTAGAAACAACCTAGTGTCTGACAACAGGGAATCAGTTAACAAAATGTATGGCATATCTATATGAGTATAATGGAACACCCTGTAGCAGTTTGCAAGAATGCATCTGCTTGGTAAATATTAATGTAAACCAGCCTGCCCTTGGTTTCTCAGGAGGCTCATTTCCTCAGATGCATCCCATCTGCTCCCCTGGCAGGAGGCCAGGCAAATCTGCTGAAGTCCCGGGTGCAACCTGTGGTTGCTGCCCTGTCCTCACCCCTCGCACACACACACACACACACACACACACACGCACTTGTTTACAAAGAGTAGATGTATCTGGGGAGAACTCAAACAGTCAAAGCAGTTGTGGGGGTGCGGAGGGGGTGGGTGTTAGCAACTGGAGGTCAGGGATGGGGCGGTCTCCTGCTCATTACATTCCCTTTTGCATGTTTTACATTTAATGCCATGGATGTTTCAAAAAGTTCATGGAAAAATAAAAAGATAATATGAATCTTTCCGTGAACTATTTTCTTTTTCCTTTTTGTCTTTTTTTACTGACCGGTAACGGGATCGCAACCCTCAGTGTCACGCCCGTACCGGGGACCGGCAACGGGATCGCAACCCTCGGTGTGGCGCCCGCACCGCGCTCAGCCAGTGAGCAGGAACTGGTCTCCACATGGGATTCGAACCCTCCGCGGGAGCTCCGCCGCGCTCCCAAGCGGCGCACTCTCCAGTGTGCCACTGGGCCGGCCCTTTCCGTGAACTTTTTGAAGACTCCTCCTTTGTGACTGATCAAAAGAACTAAGACAATGGATTTAAAAATAAAGACAAAATTGGGCTGGCTCCGTGGCTCACTTGGGAGAGTGCAGCGCTGGTAGCGCCGGGGCTGCAAGTTCGGACCCTATATAGGGATGGCTGGTGCGCTCACTGGCTGATCGTGGTGCAGACCACACTGTGCCGAGGGTTACGATCCCCTTACTGGTCAGGGGAAAAAAAAAAAAAAAAAAGACAAAAATGAAACCAGAAAAATAAAAGAGGGCTGTAAATGGCATTGTTCAAAAAGGATGCTAACAAAACCACCTTCACCAAAGGGGCTGTCAATCCTGTAAGAGACTGCAAGACCACAATGAAATCAGTAATCTTTATGAGAAAGCAGCCCTGCATAAAACAACAATTTGCTTTTTTTGCCAAAATAAATATTTGGATGTTTCCTCTAAATACACAATCATCCCAGAGAAAAAGCTGAAATCTCAGGGAATGACAGCAATGGCAGTCTACAGATAAGCTCACTGCCTAATGACAGCTCCAGCTGCATCTTCCACCGCCCTGCTGTGTGCCCCCACCCCAGGCCCTCCCTCCCCGTGTTTGTTCGTTGTTCCTGCCTTCAGGTCACTGCCTAGGATACTTTATTCATCAGTGTACTTGCTCTGACCCCCTCCTGGAAACTGCACCCAGCCTGTGCTCCCCATCTGGGAACATTTCGGTTTTACCAAAATCAGAGGCCCAGAAGTGAGATTTAAAGGAGACCTAGGGACTCCCCTTCTCCCATCCAGAGATGTCAGAGCCCAAAAGGGAAAACTGGCAGCAGAGGGAGACTGGTGTGTGAGGGTTTCCATGTTTCTTGTCCCTTCCAAAGTAGGAAAAAGTTTTGTCTTGCAAAGAGAATAATAAAAATGCTTTCGGATCTCTAAAATTTAAAAACTGACTTTAAATCTGTTAAGAGTATTGCAAATACTTCTTCTCAATGTTCTTTTTCCCATGGTATCAAAGTTTCTAAAAATTTTACATCTCCACCACACAACTAAGTTCCTAAGTGTTTCGATAAATTGACAGATTGAGAAGTCCCTTCAGAGAGAAATATTTTGCCTTAGCATCTTAAAGGGGATAAACTCATTTATCCAAGAACAGCGAGGTGCACACAAAGGCACATGTGACCTGCCTGCTCCAGTCCCAATTTCAGATAGCCTATTCACCTGTCAGACTGTGCAGTTGCTATTCACATTTGATATGCACCTGTCTTCAGTAGCTTTGGCTCTAAAAAAATATAAGCCCTATACTTGTACAGAATATAAATTTATACTTCAGCACTGCATGAACACTTTGTAACGTTCTGAGTACCACTATTTTATTGGAAAAAACACATTGTGTCCTTTAAAGGTATGGAACAATGGAATCCTGGGGTAAGGAGTCTTAGCGATCATCTGGTACAATCATCTCAAAGAAGAACAGACCAAGACTCAGTGAAAGTGATTTTCCAAAGGTCACCTGGGAAGTTTGTCCAGTTGAGGCTGAAACTCATGCTTACTTACTTCCAGCCTGGTATAGTTTTCTTTAACTGCACCAGGTCCCACCTCTCAAAAGATTTCTGCAGTCTTAACTGTGATTAATTTTCTGTGATTAATCTTGGGGCCTCCCTATTTATCCATTAAGGCACATCTCCTATTTCAAAATGTATACCAATGAGGACAAAACCTGAAAGTAATGATTTGCAAACTTCATTTATAGGGCCGGCCTGTGGCTCACTCAGGAGAGTGCGGTGCTGATAACACCAAGGCCACGGGTTCGGATCCTATATAGGGATAGCCGGTTGGCTCACTGGCTGAGCATGGTGCTGACAACACCAAGCCAAGGGTTAAGATCCCCTTACCCGTCATCCTTTTTAAAAAAATTAAAACAAAACAAAACAAAACTTCATTTATAAACCACTTTCACACTTACTGACACTATCATTCACTTAAGTTTTTGCTTTTTTTCTTAAAGCTTAAATACAGTCATGTATCGCTCAAGAACAGGGATACATTCTTCACTATGTGAACATCATAGAGTGTACTTACACAAACCAAGGTGGTATAGCCTACTACACACCTAGGCTATATGGTGTAACCTATGGCTCTGACTACTGTCAAGTATGTGTGGTCCATTGTTGATGGAAATGTTGTTATATGGCACGACTGTATATAAAAATGGCCAGAAATGGGTTCTTTACAGTAACCTACTTGATGTATCAAATTCAGTTTTGTTGCCCAGCAAAGCTCTGAGACCACCGTTTGTCCTCCTATTTCAAAAAGGGAGATTAACAAGTACTAAGGGGGTGTTGACAACAAACACCCCAAATTGAGGCTATAATTAACAGTGAAAGTAAATTTAAAAGGGAGTAGCAGGTTAGTCTGCTATACCACCAATGGTGTGTGTCCTTTGGGAGACACTTTAAAGAGGCAGTGGATTTAGCTGGGGAGTGGAGGCCTAGCAGAGGTCCCAACAGTATTAAGAATCCTAGGACTTTCCACCTCAGAACTTTACCAAATATCTACAGAATCAGGAAAAGAGGTAAAGAAATGACTTTTTCTTACACCCCCTCCTTTATACTAGGCATGCCATAGCTACAAACACACGTTATTTAATCTTGCCAACAGTCTTACTTTCTTTAAAGTGTCAGGTGACCCTTGTCGAGACTCTAGGAACCCCAGTGCTCACTGGCCATCAAACCCAAGTAGGGACGGCCTCAGTCCTGTTTCCAAGGGAGGGAGGGATAATGAGGCAAGACGAGGTCATCATCATTCCTTCAGCCCTGCGAGAAATTACTGCTCCTGGATTCTAGCTAATTTGTTCACAAATGTACGCTCCTTCATCTACGTATAATAGGTGAGAGAACCTGGGCACCCTCAAGACCAAGCCGGGGCCCAAGAGGCAGGGTGGAACCTGCCTGGACAGCGCCAACCTGGTTCCCGACCGCTGCACGGCCTCTTTGAGCCTGTTTCCTTACGTGTGAGATTCAGACAACACATACTCACCTCAAAGAGCAGTGAAAAGGTTCGATGAAGAAGTTTTAACCGCAGCGTCTGCTCCCTCCAGGGACTGGGCTAAGCGCTGGCCCATCACCCCTTCCCTGAATCCCCACAGCAAGCCCCGGGGAAGAGTCACGCCCGACAGATAAAAAGCAGCGAGAATGCAGTGTCCGGCCTGGGTCCCTCTCCCGCACCCCAGCTCGGTGGTCTGTGCCCGGCCAGTATTCAGGAAACACGTCCAAAGAAAGGCCGCGCTTCCCGCTTCCCTGAGCCGCCGGGCGCCCCACCTCCCGCAGCTCACCCGCAGCCGCACCGCGGCTCTTGCTCCAGCTCCCGCTCCCGGGGCAGCCACCGGCAACCCCTACTTCCGGGTCCGGCCGCTTCTGGCGTCCCCGCGTCCAGCATGCCAGCGTCTGCCCCCGGCTCCCGCGCGTCATCGTCCGCGGGTTCCGCGGCTCGCGCGTTCCGGAGGCACGCCCGGGAGTTGGTCTTTCACGCCGCGCACCGCAGGGGGTCCCCGAACCCTCCACCCGGATTCTTCCCCGCCACAGAGAGCCAATTATGATAATAATTATTACAATCGTTATGAAAACTGTTATGAAAACATATATGCTGTTAGTATTAAAATAATCGAAAAGTACAGATGTCTGTATAAGCGGGCTCCTTTCGATGCTATAAACATTTGTCGAATGAATGAATGATCTGTGTAAATATATCTGGAAGATGAATTGAAAGATAAAAGTAATTTTTTGTATTAGAGCATTAGGATATTGAAGGTTTAAAATAATTTCATGACCTTATTTTAATATCTTTTAAATAATAATATACACACATTTCCTTTACACCCTTGTAGACACTTTTCCCAACTTGCTTTTATCGGAATACTGGCCCCTATAGATGTTCTGGAAAAAGAAAAATTCTATGGGCGAATAAGGTTCGGAAGTGCCATGAGTTCAAAGTCACAATGAGAGTTCACTTTTCAAACAGAAATCCTGATTCCAAACACGCTGCTTGGCAGGTGCTTCATTTTCAAAATGGCAACTCCCTCTTCCTGGTTGCTCAGGCCCAGTGCCCTGGAGGCATCCTGGACTTCTCTGACTCTTCTCTTTCTGGCACTTGTTACACATCTGCAAATCCTGCATCACTGTCTTCAAAATACAGATGCTCCGGGCCGGCCCGGTGGCGCACTGGAGGGTGTGCCGCTTGGGAAGCGCGGCGGCGCTCCCACCGAGAGTTCGGATCCCATGTGGAGACCAGTTCCCGCTCACTGAGCGCGGTGCGGGCGCAACACCTAGGGTGGCGATCCTGTTGCCGGTCAGTAAAAAAGACAAAAAGGAAAAAAAAAATACAGATGCTCCTGTTGACCTAAGTAAAAGAAACTGAGGCCAAATACATAAAGAAGGGATTAATTTGAGCCTGTTATAAGAGACTGCAGCCCAGGACATGTATTGGTCAGGTCACCCTGAGAAATGTGCTCTGCAGAACAAAAAGAGATCAGTAACATTTAAAGGAAAAGGAGCTCTTCAGGGGGTAGTTCCAAAGTTGTTTGCCAAAAGTTTACATTGGTCCAGTAAAATAACGTGTTATTGATTGGCTATCCATTGTTTTTTTTTTTTTTTGTCTTTTTGTCTTTTTTCGTGACCGGCAATGGGATTGCAACCCTCGGTGTTGCCCCCGCTCCTCGCTCAGCCAGTGAGCGGCCGGTCTGTATGTGGGATCCGAACCCTCGGCGGGAGCGCCGCCGCACTTCCCAAGCGGCGCACTGTAGCAGTGCGCCACCAGGCCGGCCCGGCTATCCATTGTTTTAGCATCATAAATTCCAGGAAAGTTACAACATAGAAAGTGAGGGTTGTATTGTACAGCTTGTGATAATATTTGGATAATGTATGACCCTTAGAGGTGCTAGTTGGACTGGAAAGCTGCTGCTTCTAGCAATTATATGGATGTGGGTGAGGGGGATGTGACTGAGGCTTCATGGCCATATCTTCCTGGGCCTGAGAAATGTAGCAGAACTTGGATTGCTTAGATTGTTTTTCTTTCTCATTCCTCAATTTATGATGGGATTACATCCTGATAAGCCCATTGTAAATTGAAACTATTGTAAATTTGTCAGGTTCGAATCACAGATCTCTCTGCCCCATCCTGTGCAGGTTGCGAGTCAAGTAGTTGAAAGAAGATTCTGGCAGCCTTAGATGCAACAGACATGCTTTATTCCAGACATGAGCTCTGCCAGTCCTTCCTGCTCTACTGACCCCTGCAGTTGAGAGCGGTTGTCTCTTTTTATATAACAAATACACAATGGTGGCCACAAGCCAAGGATTAAATAAGCACACATATGCAGCTACACTTTTTTTTTTTTTTAACACTACTCATATAACTAGTTCACAGTGAGTGTGATAAAATGTGCTAAATCGTGTCCTGCCTGATAAGAGGCAAGGAAGCCTGACTAAACTGTTTCTATTTTCTTTTCAAAATTGAAAGTGTATTTTCGACTTCCGATATTTTCAATTTATGATAGGTGTATCCAGACGTAACTCCATCATAAGTTGAGGAGCATACTGAATGCATATTGCTTTTGTAGTTGAAAAACTGTTTTCAAACCATCCTAAATCAGCACTGTCTGTGTATTGGAGATCCATTCAATCCTCCCTGTCTTGGCTGCCACCACCCTGATCCAAGCCCCCACCTCCCTCCTGGTCCCCTGGCCTCCACCTTGCAACCCTACAGTCTGTTCTCCACACAGACCCCAGTTATAGCGCTGAGGCTCAGGTTGGATCTGAAGGTTTCAAACAGTCAGCAGGGAGGCAACACCAAAGCCCCTCTGCTCATGTAATCCAGTTCCAGAGTTCCTTCTGTGGAGCCCCAAGAAGGCCCTGACGCTGGATCCAGCAGGGAGCGCTGAGTGGTAAGCTCTGGAGGCCTGGGTTGTCTTGAGTGTGTTCTCGGACAGAGCTGAGAAACTGCAGCTGCCCTGTGCTCTCTGCCCAGAAAGCTTTGCAGGTGAGCACTTCCCCCAGACATCCTGGGTCAGGCGCTCTCTTGGACCCTTAGGTTGACGGATGACCCAGATTCAGAAGAACACTTTGACTTGTTGGAGGTCCCCTCCCAGTGTGACTTCCCCCCTAAACCCCATTCTGAGGTGGGTAGTTGTCTAGGTACAACTCAGCTGGAGGGGCCTTTCCTCTTCCCCCATGGCCAGGGGGAAGCTGGGCTCACCTTAACAAAAGATTTTCATGCAGAGTCCCTCCTCTAAGGGGTGAGGAGAGGCCATAAGAGGGAGACCAGGGAGCCCAGCTCCAGCTATGGGGCTTCTGGAGGTAGAGCCCTGAGGTGTCTCAAGAGAATGAGCCGGCTGGCTCAAGAGAATGAGCAGCTGCTTGCAAAAGTAAATGATACAAAAGAAAGCATACACACCTCAGCCAGCGAAGTGTGGATTGGCCCTGGGAAAGTGAGCAACAACCCCGCCTTCTGCCAGGATTCAACTTTTATAGTCTCTCTATCTAATACATATCTATGCTATCTAATGAGTATAAATTCCACTTTACTGAGTATGCTTGGCCATTAGGATTATAGAACCCCTTTCTATTGAGCATGCCTAGCCACTAGATTTGCATAAGTCAGCCCCTTGAGATCTCCAGTTGGTGCCAAAAATAGGTTCAACTTCTTCTAGGCCCTGGCTAGATGAAAGTTATATTAAACTAAATGTAAGAGTTAAACTATGTAACTTATGTAACTTAACATTCTAACTTATTTTTTGAAAATAAGTAAGAAATTATGAAATTTGAATTTCAATTCAAATTTAAATTGTGAAATTGTTAAACAGTGTCTGTCACCTTTATTGAACTCTTTCATGGATTGAATTACGTCCCACCAAAACTCACTGGAGCTTGAATTGTGTCCCCCAAATTTTATGTATTAGAAACTTAGTCCCCACTGTGACTGTTAAGAGGGTGGGAAATCCTATTATGGTAACTGAAAGGTGGAGCCTTGAAGAAGTGATTGGAGTGTAGGACCATGTTGTAATGAATGGATTAAACATGGTGGTCATGGGAGTGGTTCTGAAGGCTTTAAAAGAAGAGGAGAGGGTTCCGATCAAGATGGCAGAAGTGACGGTTCCCAGTGTCACTCTCTCCCACAAATCAGCCAATTTACAACTATAACAATGTAACATCAGCCAAGCTGGGGCCTCTGGAGCTCAGGGGAAGAGGAGGAGAGACCTATGGAGTTCATGAAGGCAGGAGAAACCACGATCAGAGAAAGAAAAAGCTGCTCTGAGCATTTCAGGCTGCAACTGCTTTAAGGCTCGAGCTGGTGAGCGCATGGAGCAGGAGCCAGCAGAAGCTGCAGCTGTGCCCTTCAGATGGAGTTACTTGGAGGTGGCAGGAGAGAAGAGGGCCTTGCCGGCCCCCAGGACAGCAAGGCCACTAATAGTGTTCCTGTGGACCCACGCAGGAGCGAGGGAGCCATTCAGAGGCCAGTGAGTCTTTGCAAGGGACCAGCACAGGGCCCATCCCATGGGAAGTGTTTGGAGCACGGGCAGTGGGCGAGAGGGGCACACTGGGAGAACACTTGGACACAGCAAGGATAGCCGACCTGCCCTTCAATCAGCACAGGACCACTCAGAGGAGAAAGGTTGGGAATGCAGAATGCATGCGGTGCAGTTTGATGAAAAAACTCAGGCCCAGATCAGAGATTCCACAGAACACAGATCCACTGGTCTCTAGAAAGCCAGAAGTACCTATAAGATCAACCATTAAACCCTGAGCTTCACAAAAAGCCTTCCCTAGGGAAACAGCAGCAAAGCAGCAATTTAAGTCAACCACACAGCTCAAGTACTGGTTCCCACAGGAAGTTCCCCCATGTTAGAAGTAAGTAAAGGACAAAAAATTAGTTCCAGCCCAGGCCCACCACTAGCACTTTGGGGCCTGCTTGGGAACCGGAGGCTTGGGTTGGGGGACTGGACCCCACTCCCACTTCGAGGCAAACTGCGCCAGCTCCTCGGGACCCACCCAGGACCCGAGGCATGGAGAAGGGAACTGGACCTCCCTCCCACAACCAGGCACACCAAGATAGCACCTTGGGTCCCGCCCTGGGACCTGAGGCATGGAGCCAAGGACCTGAGGCATGGAGAAGGGGACTGGACACCCCTCTCACAACCAGGCACACTGAACCAGCACCTTGGGTCTTGC